TGGCGCAAGCGATTTTGATATGGAACACATCGAGTTGTTTGACGGGCTGGGCGACAGCACGGTGAGGTTTAAAGGAAAAGCGACACTAATACAAGGTTTTCGTTGTAAAGGGACGTGTAAGACAAGCCTACGAATTGCTATCGCTGATACGCACGCGGGACGCAATGCATATGTCCAACATTTCATTGCGTGATGTATCTACGCCTTACCTCGTGCGCGTCGCGGCCTCACCAAAATCTATCGAACATCCATAGCTAATAAACGATTGTGATATCTTAAGAATACGCCTTAATCATACGCACTTTTAGATTCGGCCTATTCGGAGTCGACGCCCAGCTCCCGGCCAGCGAACTGTTGAATTATATTGGAGTGTTATTACTACTCATTGGGTACGTGTTGATCTTGATCCCGATCATTATAAACTAGATACAATTTAATATATCATTTACTGTACACATTTTTACCATTTAGAGCCGTTTTCTACCTCTTCATCAAAAGCAACGCCCCCGGATCTGCCGCACATATTGATGCCGGGGAAAAGGTATTCTAAACGTAACTTTATATGAGTTTTTGGCTCTCAGAAACTAGAAAAAGAAGTCGCCGAAAATGCGGCTCATCTACCGTTGACCGAACGACTTTTGTAAGCACATATTCATCGAAAATATTTTAGTTTTTAGAACGATGCTTTGCTGCCTGCTCGTCGGGACCTTATTTGGGTCTTTTTACACTCCAGTTTCTTATTTGCAAGTAAGTTTTGGGCTGCATTTTTGTTTCGTAAATTTTGTAATGATAATTAGAAGTATTAATTTATTGTTATTTAAGGATTAAGGGACTTATAGCAATTCTAACTTTTTCTTAGAGCCTTGGCGGTTACCCTACGGCAGCACTTGACTACATTTTCTCATTCTTTATCGGCGTTGTTGGAGCTTCAGCGACAATTTTCTTTGTATATACTTATGCAAAGTAAGCTACATCTCAGTTTATTTATAATGGGTGTATTAAATAATTATAACAACACTTTCTAGACGCGGAAAGCCGGAGCTCAATCAGATCATCACGATCCCATCATTCTACGGAGGGCTAATGTTCGGGGCCGGAATTTGCTTCTTTATGATTGCAAATGAGAAATTGTCGCCGGTAGGTGTTAATACACCTATGTACATTTAGCTATTACCCTAAAACCGCGTGTATAGGTCCGGTACAATTTGGTTCCGTACTAATACAAATGACACCAAATAATGTGCGTAGGGTACAATTCGGCCCAAAAGCTATGTAAGCCAAAAGAGCCGGTTCTTAGGGCCTCATGCAGCAATTTCTTTCATTAAACCACTCAAATTGTTGGAAATAGTCGAAATACGAACAAATATTCCATCAAAATTGCAAAAATACCATTCGTGAGCGGCGTTATTTGCAAGAAACCGAAAAAACGAAACACACCTAATGACGGTCATACGGAATTACGGATGCTCCGTACACATGAAAATTTTCACCGGGAACTATACACGGGGAGGACCTATACACGAGGTTTTAGGGTACTTCGAAAACAACGAAACAAACATAATTTTAAAGGCTACAAGCTGGAGTTGTTAAATTCAGACCGTCGCCTACCCCACCGTGGCAATGCTGCCCGGGCTTGTCGTGTCACTGTGGAGTGTGTTGTACTTTAAGGAAATTACGGTAGGGAATAGTATTTACTTGGATTTTTCTGGTTATGAATTCTCTAGAAAATTTCCCGCGAAGCCGGGCGGGACGCGAGACGCAATGCATAATCGATTCACAGCCCTTTACGCGGTCCATTCGGCTTGCGCGTTGCGTGTCGCGACGCGGAAATCAACCAAAAATCCAGAAATTCATGGAAAATCAGAGCTTGCCGGTTCCTGAAAATCTCGAGTTAATGATGCTCCAAAGCCATCCCAGCCGAAAACTCCACCATACACGTCCCTTTAAAATTAGAATTTTATCGTTTTAAATCCTTGAAAAATCTAAATTAACAAAATCAATAAATTAATCTTTTAGAAATAATGCCATTTTTAGGGAAATCGCAACATCACCCTCCTCGCCGTCGCCTATTCTTTGACGCTGGTCGGCGTTGCGGTCATCACAGCATCCAGAACGATCTCGCTCTAATTCCACGAACTCTCCACTATTTATTTATCCCCCCAATGATGTAGCTTCCATCGGGAAGCCGAAAAAAATTGATAAACGCATCCAATTTTTTATGTATTAGATTCAAGCATAAAGATCACTACACAGAATTTTGGCGACTCGAAAAAATTTTTGGTTAACGGATCCAAAAATCGTTGCGAAACAATCAAAAATCGGAATCAAAAGCTGCTTGGAAAAGCGGAACAGGAATTCCGGCTAGGTGATATCTAGCTCGTACGAGAATCTCATGTTTTCATTAAAAATACATCATCTTACGCTTCATACAATTCCGCCACATCATACCGAGCTCTATTTTCCAAAGAATTCCTCAGGTTTTGACTTTATCAAAAGCCCGGACCCTGATTCAGCGAGGGTTTATAAAAGCGGCGTTTCCAGGCCAAAGGCAGTCTTGTTTCAAATATTTACTACCGCTTGTAATTCCAACTGATGCTGCTGCAATCCGCCAGCCATACAGCGGCATGCCGGTGACGGTCAGATAAGGCGCGGCTCGCTTTGTCCATTTTTGCCCGCACCCGCCACCAGAGACCAAAAAAAGTCCCGCCGAACGCAGTAAGAATAATAGTACTCACTTTTGGTTACCAGTGAGTATTTTTTCTTGTTGTTTTGGGCACTTCCCCAATATTTAGCTCGTTTTTCAGCGCAAATTGCGGGAAACCAACCCTGATTTCCGGTTTTATGAGCTGCCCTGCTTTGAAAAACACAGCTCCTCTAGCTAGATTCTAGTAATTTCAACATTAGTGCGCTTATCGTGCTTTAAAATTGCTAAATTGCTTAAGTTTCTCTATAGCGATTTTGCTATCATTTGCAGCTTTTTCCATCTTCACGTCTCTCTCTCTCTCTCTCTCACTCTCTCTCTCTCTCTCGTTCCCTCTCTTTTTCTTTTTCCGTATCGCTCTCTCTCCCTCTCGTTAACGTGTCACCGTTATTACTCGCCATTCCCCATACTTTTCCATTTTCAGAAAATGCAATGGCCAGAGCGAAGTTTTCTAAACATCATTCAACTCGGCATCGGGATGATGCTCGTCTTTTTTGCTTTTATTTCTCAAGCTTTTATTGTCGAAACTGTACTCGAAAATCGGCATGAGACCGACCCAAGGATAGCCAAACATGCAGGATACTACAGGTAAGATTTTGTCGCCACAAAAAATGCTCATCGTCAGGGAGTTCCACTCCCTTTACCCCTTAAATATTTAGTCAGACAATCATCTATTCTACATTTTTGGTTGGGAATCTGTTGGCACCGCCGATAATTTCTTTCCTAGGTAAGTTGATGGCTAATTTAGGCAATGAAATGGTCAAGGAAGACTTAATTTTATCGCCTAACTACGCAAATTTGACTTGCCAGTTCCGTTAAAAAGCAATCCGATTTTTAGGACGTCGTCTCTCCATCATATTCGGCAGTTTCCCGTACGTCCTCTACATGGCCGGGTTCCTGTTTTTGAACCCCTACTACCTGTATGCTTCCGCGGCTTTCGAGGGCTTCATGGGAGGGTGTGAGCCAGAATCCAGACAAAATGAACCCAGAATTAGTGTTGTGGACGTCGGTGGGGCTTTACGTTGCCGAGAACAGTAATGAGAGGACGATATCGAGGAATAGCAACGTGTTTTGGATGCTCTACATGTCGTGGTTGGTTGAAGCCACTTCACAACTTTTCATTGCGTAATCGGTTGGCACGGGGCCAAAAAGGTTGATACCTTGATACCAGCGTCTCTCAAGCCACCATAATTTGCATCTTGCAGTATGGTACTCGGCGGCATCTACCTACTCGTTGTTTTCGGCCAAAAACCAGACAAAAACATCTCGATGAGCACGACTAGGATCCTGTACGGAACTTTCGCGGCCGTTGCCCTCGTTGGTGTCGTCGTTCTCGGACTTCTCCAGCAGAAATCCACCGGCAAAAAAGCGGCGGCAGTCAGCCACCGGATGGAATTAAGTGAGTTCTGGCCTGAAGCACGTTTGCATTGAATTTATACGACACTCCGATACCAAGCCGAAATTTCTAGTGAAAACCGTCCGGATGCTGGGCACTGTCGACCAGTGGCTGATCGCAATTCCATCGGCTTTTACTGGAATCGAGAACTCATTCTTTAGTGGTGTCTACTCCACTGCTTTGTCCTTTACAAAAGCGTTTACGATTAATACGAATCAGTTGATGGCGTATAATAGCATTGCAACTGGTGTTGGGCAACTGTCAGGTGAGCTCTCTTTCTCTCTCTCTCTCTCTCTCTCTCTCTCTTTTATCTCTCTCTCTTTCTCTCTCTCTTGAATGTCTAGCTCTAGCTTTTAGGGGGTCTACTCTTCGCCCTCCTCGGAAAATGGTCCTCCCGAGTTGGTAGATGGTACACGATGTGGATGGGGACCGCCGCTAGCCTTATTTGTTATGCTCTGGTAGCCTTAAATCTACCAGGCGTTGCTTCTTTCGAGAAAACGTATGATAAGCCGATCTTCGGCTCGCCTAGGTGGGCATCGCCTCGTAAAATAGCACGACAATTTCCTTTATTTAGCATAGCCATAGCCCTAATTTGCGGTGTCTTGCTCGGGTTCAGCGACTGCTGTGTCAATACTCAAATTTATGCCCTAATTTCCGTACGGTATCATGGAAGGACAGGACCTGCATTTGCGTTGAGTAAATTTTGGCATGTAGGTTAGCCGTTTCTAAATTTTCACAAACTTTTGACATTAAAGAAGACCAAAGAAAATCGTGGTTTCAGGCCCTGTTCACCGCAATTTGCATGTTCTACGGCAGCGTTGCAAGCTTGTATGTCCAATTGGCAATATTGGCAGTTGGAACCGTGATTTCGTCAATATCGTATACGATTGCCGAACGAAAGATGCTAATTTTGAGAAAACGGGCGCCGACAATTGTCATTGATGACTGTATTTATTGAGATTTTGAAAAGCTTCGACCTTAAACAAAGTTGTCGCATAAAGACTGGTTTCTGATTGAACTGTCTCAAAACGCCTGGGAGCGCAAAATCGAGACGTTCGTCCTGTTTTCAGCGGGGCACCCTGTCAACACCTAGGCCTCGATAGGGGCCGATTTTCGCGCTTCGTAGCGCCTCTCAAGCTCATATGCTGCTCATATTGTTTTTAAAGGTACAAGGGCGATGGATAATCATACAATGCAACTATCAAAACCATGATATGCAGCATAAAAAAAGGTCAGGTAAACACCAAAAAATAGTATGCGAACCAGTACGCGTCGTAAAAATTCTTTGAGCTCGACAAAACTATTCTGCTCGCGACTACATCCTACAACCCAGGCCCCAACAACATTCAAAAAATCTGTTTGCTGTGATGAAACGAGCTAGAAAATTGGGGTCGTGTGGATGTAAAACAAGTTCATTCGAAACTACAGCCCACGATCGTCCACCAAAAAAAAAAATCCAAATATTTGGGTTTCCGGTACGAGAAACTGAAGAAAATTCGCACCTTTCATGATACAAGGTGTTTCCATGATCATCTTGTGCGGACTATGATGATGCAAAGGCAAGCCATAAACCTTAATTTGATGATGTAACGATACACAAACCGTTTTCTGCCATTTTGTGCAAATTTGTAGACGTTATCACGTTATGTCCCGGGCGATTTTTCAGCCGAAAATAAAGCCGTAGAATCGAGGCGGCGGCTGGCCACATGGCGGGTCGATTTGATAAAATGGGCTTCACTATTCCCAAGGCGGCCACATCTCAATTTCAATTTTCCGCTTGGCTGCTTTGCACTGACAGTTTTTGGGTGGTTTGACCTTGGTGTGGGTAGCATCGGAGATCCGGGCTCCGCGTAGGGTATATAACGGTTCATGCACCACAAGGAACCGCCAGGGATAATAGCTATTCTAAACTTGATTTTTATACCTTCACCTGACCATGATGCTCGATGTATCTTAATTTTCTAAACAAAATTATGGCTAATTGTTATGCCTCGTTTTTAGAAGAAAAATACTTCACGATGGTCAAGCAATTTGAAGGGAAAGTGGCTTTGATTACAGGTAGGGATAATCGATTACGATAGGTATTTAGAACCTGTTAATGGGCGTATTTTGTAGTTGATAGCAGATTAATGATACTACTTAGTATGCTAAAATTTATGTCCACCAGGGTCGAGCAACGGCATCGGCCGCGGGATCGCGGTCCATTTTGCCGCCCGAGGAGCGAAGGTGACGATCACCGGAAGAAGTGAAGCCGCCTTGAATGTAGGTTAAATCATATAAAACGAAATTTAATACCTATTCAAACCTTAAAATACCATATAGGGGCTGTTTAGGAAACCAGGAAAGAATGTGTGGCAGCTGGCGCCCCGGAAAACGACATCCTCGCGCTGGTCGGAAATTTGGCCGAAGAGGAATTTATGACCAAACTGGTGCACGATACTGTAGAAAAATTCGGAAAGCTGGATTTCCTGGTATCTTAATTACGGGTAGTTTTAAATTTTAAACTATAGATCAATAACGCTGGTGTTACTGATGAGGACATGTGCAACAAGAAGCCTGGCTTCTTGACTCAGGATATGCAGAGCTACGACTATATCTTTCTGATTAACGTGCGATGGTAGGTAAATACATTAAAATGTTTGATAATTAAAACCAAACAAACGACGTTTTTAGTTAAATAAAATATTGAAATCAAGATGTGGTCGTAATTTAGCGTCGTTTTTCTATCCCGTGAAGCCACGCCCCATCTCGAGAAAACGAAGGGAGCAATCGTCAACATGAGCTCGATTGCCGCATCGGAAATTCAGGCTGTAAATTGGAAACTATCGGATTTCTCTGATGTTGCACATTTTAGATAGCCTTCCCCTACTATGGGATGTCAAAATCGGCACTGGATTCGCTGACGAGAAGCTTGGCACTTGAGCTGATTCGAAAGGGTATTCGAGTCAATGGGATCAAGTAAGACAAAACGTAATGAAATAAGGATTTTCAGGCCCGGGGCGATCAGCTCGAACATCATGCAAAAGCAAGGAGCTACAGATGAAATTTTGCAGCAGGTTAGATGGATACTTACCAATTCTGAAATTCATCAATTCAGCATAAAATCTGCACCAAAGCAGAGAGACCTTATACCCTATAAAATCCTTTAACGTCAGTTATGAGCTAGAAAACCCTAAAATCATGCTAGCTCTATTCAGTAAGCGTAAAAATTATTTGTGATTTTATAAAAAAATTATATTTTTTAAAAACGAGCCAACAATTTTTCAGTTGGAAAAGAAAATGTCGAGCAGTTTCGCGCTGATCCCAGCTGGATTCTACGGGAAACCAGAGGACATCGCCCATCTTACCGCCTTCCTCTGTGATAGGTAGGTAACCACCAAACCGATTGTCACTTTTACCGGCTTAGATGATATGCTTCTGCGGAATTTTTTGTTTGCCTCGTTCGGCCCCCGAAAAGCTTTTGAGTCGGCGAGGCAACCGACCAAAGTCTGTTCAGAAAAACGGCAGAAACTTCGGAAAAATTCATTAGAAACGTTGAAAAATACAATTTTTAGCGAGCAATCCCGCTACATCATCGGCCAGAGCATTCGCGTGGATGGGGGAACCTCGTTGGTTTGCCCGATGATGCTGGGAGAAGAGATATCCTCTGTCCAGAAGCTCGAAACGGACCAATAAGTCCGTCAATTCTTGTTTTTAATCAATAAAGATCTATTAAATGTGAAATGATCGCATCGACAAAAAAAAAATCCAGATTTTGGCAAGCGGTAAACTAGGTAACCGCGCAAAATCCTCCAACAACGAGGAAAAACTGGTCCGATTATTCTGCATTTGCTCCGTTTTCACGGCCTTATTTTTCTCCTGTAATGCAATTGCTAGAAATGATTGTGCGAAAACACTTATCGTACCTTCACTTTTTACGCGTTTTGGTCAATATGTTGTCAATTTTTGGGCAGCCACGCCTGTTCGGGGTTGAGCGAGCGTTGAGTAGGCGCGCGGACGTGCCTGGATGCCAGTTTTTTTAAGATTTACGGTGAATTTTCTAAATCGAAACGTTTTTAGAACTTTCTCCAGCTTTTTCGATAATCTTTATAACATTTGTGAGCGTTCAAATCCTTGATCATTGCTGATTCACGGTATTACATACTTGAAGATTACGCTAAATTACCAGAAACCTCGGCCTTCAGGAAATGCCAAAACAATTCGAAGGCAAAGTTGTGCTAAGCACAGGTGGGTAATCGATTACGATAGGTATTTATTACTGCCCTAGGGTCGAGCAATGGTATCGGTCGCGGAATGGCAAGATATTTTGCGGCTCATGGAGCAAAAGTTACGATCACCGGAAGCCTTACAAGTAAAGTCGCTTAATTAATAATAAAGCGCAGATAAATTAAATTTTAAGTAAGTTTTATTTCTAACCGAAAGTAATATCGGGTGAAGAACAAAAGCTCATTAATAACCATACCATAATGCGTTTTAGGAAGCAAAACAGGGAATGCATGGTGGCTGGAGCTTTAGAAAATGACATCCTATCGATCGCCGGAAATCTCCTAGGAGAACCTTTGATGTCGAAGCTCGTCCAGGATACTGTTGAACCCTTTGGAAGACTCGATCATTTGGTAAGCCTATAAAGTGATACCTTAACTTTTGTCAAAAGATCAACAACGCGGGTGTTATTGATGTCGAGATGAGTGGGGAACGCCTAGGGATTGAGTCCCAGGGCATGGACAGTCTCTATTATATTTTCCAACTTAACGTGCGATCTTAAGTAACAAAGTTTTAGCGCTTTTTAGAAGCTAGCTGTCGTGAAGGCGTTCCTCGCCTAGAAAAGACGAAAGGGACAATCGTGAGTATTAGCTCGATCGGTGCGTCTGAAATTCAGACGTTAGTCAATTTTTGAGGCGGTTCTAGGCGAATTTAGGTAAAGTTCCCCTACTACGGGATGTCAAAATCGGCGCTGGATCCGTTGACGCGAAGCTTGGCACTTGAGCTAATTCCAAAGGGTATTCGAGTTAACGGAGTCAAGTAAGAATTGCTAGTTTTGGCCTAAAACTCGGACCTTTTAGGCCTGGGGCCGTTTCATCAGAAATCATGCAACGACAAGGAGCAACGCAGGTAATAGTAGGTCAGGTTATTCTTGATAAAAAATACGGATTATAGTTAAATCGTCAAGGTTGAATCGGAAATGGCCGCTCGCTTCGACGTCATACCAGCTGGTTTACCCTGGTAAACCAGAAGATGTCGCACATATTACTGCCGTTTTGCGTGATAGGTGAGGGAGCAAGTGAGCGAGAGAGAGCAAGATAGAGCGAGAGAAAGATAGATAGATAGAGAGAGAGTGATAAATATCCTGGTTTATAGCGTACAATCCCGGTATACCATCAGGCAAAGCATTCGCGAGGACGGGGAACATCGTTGCTCTGTCCGCTGCTGCTTGGCGATCAGTTGATGACGATCGACACGAAATAAAACAATAAAGATCAATACGGCTGGGTGGAAAAATATTAAATAACCTCTTCCTTTTCACTTTTTGCCTTTTTGGTTGTTGATACAACGACGCAGATATCAGCACAGAAATCTCAATATTTTTTGCAGCTCTGTCCCAGTCGACGCGAATTTGTTCCCCTCGAATTTTTACCATCGTTCCTTTGCTCATTCCTTAGTATTCCTGCGCTTCTCTGTCTATTTGTGACTCTCTTTCTCTCTCTTCCGCATTCTCTCTTTCCTTTTCCTTCTCCACGAGATCCCGCACCGAGACTAGAAACTAGACAGGCAAAGAGAAGCCCTCAACCGGGGGAAATGGCCTTCTTGGTGTGCGGAGCCATGCTGCTCTTGTGCCGTTTTCTGCTCGGTTTTTGGCCATACACACTCCCCACAACCCAATGTCATCCTCGTCTGGGTCCAACGAGATCAATGTTTGGCATATAGGACGACCGCCCTTCGCTTTCAGCTCACATTTTTTACTTTTGACAGACCGCTTTGGGATTTTCATTTTTTATGCGAGTACATTTCGATAAAACACAGTATTGCCAATTTAAGAAGGGAAATGGCCAAACAATTTGAAGGGAAAGTTGTGCTCATCACCGGTATGTTAATAAAGGAAAATCAATGAAAAATTATTTTCAGGATCGAGCAATGGAATCGGTCGCGGTATCGCGGTTCATTTTGCGGCTCGGGGCGCTAAAGTGACGCTCACCGGAAGGAGTGAAGAAGCCCTGGCAGTAAGTTCTGGCGACCAAAAACCTGCTTCAAACCAAAATCATGGATGTTATTTTTTAATAAAGTTCTACCATTATCGTTGATTTTCATTATACCTTACCTACTTAGCTTCGATTTTATAATCAAGATTTAGGAAACCAAGGCAGAATGTGTCGCAGCCGGAGCCTCGGAGAGCGATATTCTCTCAATTGCCGGAAATCTGACCGAGGAGCCATTCATGTCAAAACTTGTCAATGATGCTGTGGCCCATTTCGGGAAGCTGGACGTTCTCGTAATTTTTCTTTATGAAAAGAAACCTGTTCGGTCGTTTTAGGTCAATAATGCCGGTGTAACGGACAAGGAGATGAGCGGAAAACAGCCTGGAGTGTTGACCCAGGGCCTCGATAGCTACGACTATATCTTCCAGATTAATGTGCGTTGGTAAGTGGATAGTTTGGATTCTAGAGAAGTAAAATACAATAGATCTTTTTTTGATATAGTACATAATAAAAACAAACAACGTTCTCTTAAAAATCTAAGATTGTAGCGTTGTTTACCTTTGCCGGGAAGCCACGCCCCACCTCGAAAAGACGAAGGGAGCAATTGTCAACATTAGCTCAATCGTCGCTTCTGATATTCAATCGGTAAGTGAACGTTTTTATCAATTTTTCTAAAATTGCCGGGCAAAAATGAATTTATTGTCCATTTCAGGCGAATTTCCCGTACTACGCGATGTCCAAATCTGCCCTGGACTCGCTGACGAAAAGCCTGGCCCTTGAGCTGATCCGGAAGGGAATAAGGGTCAATGGAGTCAAGTAAGGGCAAGAGTAAATTAAAAAAATACCATTTTAAGGCCCGGAGCAGTCACCTCCAAGATTATGGAACGACAGGGCGCTACGCGCGAAGTGATGCACCAGGTTAGTCCCCACTACTTTTGTAGGTTTTACCTAAACAAGAGGAACTCAATAGCATAATCACTCGAAATCGATACATCCTAACCCGTTAATGAACTTTTAGGTCGAAACCGCCCTCTCCAGCCGCTTCGACATGATTCCAGTTGGGTTCTTCGGGAAACCGGAAGACATCGCCCACATCACGGGATTTTTGAGTGATAGGTAGGAATTGATTTCATCCGCGAGAGAAAGGGAGAGAGAGAGAGGGGGGAGAGAGAACGAACCGGGAAAAATCTCAAAAATTAGCGGCTTTCAGCGTGCAATCCCGGTACATCATCGGCCAGAGCATCCGTGTCGATGGTGGCAGTTCACTGGTGTGCCCCCTTCTGCTCGGCGATGTGCTTGAGAAGAAATAATCAATCTATCGCAATAGCTTTTTCAAATGCTATTTTCTATGAATCAATTATCATGAACATGCGCATAAATCCTTCTTTTGATCTTCGCTATAACGTGCAGTTCGATGCAGCATGTGATAGTCCCCGACCATCAGCCAAAAAACGCAGGAAGTCTGTAATACGAAGCTGCCTGAATCTTACTAACTAGGGAAGTCCAAGATACCCGCAACACGAATCGGGCTGAAAATTGGCACAGTTATGGAACCGACCATGCTGAAGAACGCCTCGTTTTCCGAATTTGCTACCGAGCTTAAATAATTAAGATATTAAACTTTTAAAATGCGCCAAAAACCCGCCACCCTGACCCTGGCTCACTAGAGCGGGTGGGGTTCAAGAGGCCTTTGGGAAGCCCCCTTTCCAGATCTTCCGTAGTCAACTGGTAACCGCCTCGCTTTCCAGGTGGAGGGTCCGGGTTCGGGTTCTTTTGCTTTTTGCTAATTTTGCGCCGCACATGTGGCGCGGTTCCAGATTGTGTTTTGCACAGGCAATTACGTACATCCTAGAAATGAAATTCAACGAAATCATAAATTTCTGAAAAAAGTTCATAAAAAACAACACTAGTAAAAAAAAATTGTTAAAAAACCGGTATTCCGTAATTCGACGGCAGCAACCGGCTCAACTGCGTGTAGTAAAAAACACAATCTGGAGACGCGCTACATGTGCTGCGCAAAATTAGCAAAAAGCAAAAGAACAATGCGCGGACCGGGTCCGAACCCGGACCCTCCACCTGGGAGGCAAGGCGGTTACCAGTTGACTACGGAAGATCTGGAAAGGGGGCTTCCCAAAGGCCTCTTGAACCCCACCCGCTCTAGTGAGCCAGGGTCAGGGTGGCGGGTTTTTGGCGCATTTTAAATCATAAGAGATCAGAAACACAAAAATTGCGATTGAGATGAAATACAACAGTCCTCCATAATCAAGCATTGGATAAGCAAACATCGTCATGGGCATTTTAAATAACCGAGACCAAAATGGACCAAATTACCTGCGTGCCGCGCGGTCTCGAGACCTTGCCTTCTCGGGCCCCGTTCTACGAAATATCGTGCGCTGACGGAAATTTGCCCACGAACTCTTATTTTCCATCTGGTTGTCTGCAAATTCGCCCAATTTTACGGGATGAAGACCGTAAAAACTCGTTTTATGGCCAAAATCACGCGAGATTTTTGGAATCAAGAGATTTTTGGAATTTTGGAACTTTTGCCCCACCCGGTACTGTGACAGTAGCTTTCCTCCAAAACTAGAATGCAACTGTCTGCAAGGAGCTACATTATCGGCCAAAGCGTACGCGTTGATGGTGGTAGCTCGTTGGTTTGCCCCCTGCTGATCGGTGATGTGCTCGAAAAAAACAGACGAAATTTGACCATACTTTATGTTTTATAAAATGTTTTATAGGATATATACTGGAACATTTTAACCGAACCAGTTCTCACGAGCCATTAGCACATTCAATTGTAGGGCGTCGATTTTTGGCTACTCCGTGGGGATTATATAACTAAGGATTTGGAGCTGCGTCGGGGAAACAATTGGGACAACGAGTTCCAGGTTCGATTGAAAATACAGCCCCAGCTACAACAATTACAGTTTCACTTTTCGAACGCCCTTGAGCGGGGGTTATTCGAAGCGACGGTGTTCAGCATCACCGCTGACGTGCTCGTCTACATACGACTGAAAACAACTAACACTC